GTCAGGCCGGAAACAATTTTTTTCCGTGAATTTTTCCGATATTTTAAAAATTATTTATATAGATATAAAAATTGACAATAAAAAACATTGACAACAGGATATATCTACTTGTGTCTAACAAGATGAAGCAACCATTAGAAAATAGAACTAAAATTTTATAAGGTACCATAACCGCCATGACCCTTATTGAATGATTGTTTGTTGGTTTATTTACCAGCACTTTTTGCTAACAAAAATGAAGAAAAAGCTTTCAATAAATTATGACATGTTTATAACAAAAAGAACTATGACGAGTAAGGTCAAGATTTGTTGTTTTGATATACCTAATTGAAGTAGGTGTATCTTATCTCCTTTCTAAATCAGGTACCTACACCGTTAATTACACACCTTAACTCCCGTCTGTATTTTCTTAACTTCTAATAATGTATTTGAAAACACCGTAACTCACATTCAAATAATAACTCAACCAAAACTAAATATACTAAACTACTACAATACTAAATTACAGTACCTATATGGTACGCATTTAATCTATTTATTTCATTTTATGAGAATTCCATAATTTTTCACCTTTTCTGGCAGTTCTCTTTTATTCTTGAATACTATTATTTTTTATATACATATCCATCTAAAAATCGGTAATTGTACACTTTCACGGTCACCTGGTGTTTTGGTCATAAAAAATCGATAAATGGATGTTCCTTCATGATTCTGACCTCAAAATGTTACAGCGGATTTATGAAAAAAAAAATACGGGAATTGAAAAAATCTATATTTATCTAATAATTGTTTTCTTTTGTAAATAAAACAAGTGTTTATATTTTTATAATTTCCAGCAGATAAGATGAAATAATAGGCAGTAGAATAGTGACAGATGGTTGCGGGGGAGAACCATGTGTTAATAGAGCATGAAAAAAACAGTTTTTGAGAATGAATCAGTTTTATTCAGTTGAAAAAATTGGATCAGTGTTACTGAACAATGCTTATTAAACAGCATTTCTATTTTAAGCTGTAAAAACGCGAAAAAATCAACTTTTTTAATTTTTGTAATTGTTAGTTCTTTCATGCAGAATACATGAAAATAGAAGAACTTGATGACGAGAATTTTTTTTATTAAATATTTAAAAAAATTCAGATTTTTGACCACTTAAAGCCATAAAACTATTAGAAATCTTGAATTCCCATATCTTTACTATTTTTTTATCAGTCAGCCGTAAAATAGAATCCATCTTTCGATCTTTAATGGTCAAACGACCAGGTGACCCTGAAAGTGTATAATTACCCAAAAATCTCCAATTCTTTTCCACCTTGACATAAAGTAACAGTTAAAGACATTCTGCTTAGTTTTTATTACTTAACTACTTCACTTTTTGGTGTCGGTAACTATTATGCAAAACAAACAAATCTATCGTTTCAATTACCTTAGGGGTAATCAGGGTAATTATTATTAGATGCAACAGCAATTTTATTGTACGAATGTAATTGCCTTAAGTTAGCACTTAGATAAAGGTAACATACATTTACTTTTGCTTTATTTCGAATGGAATTATGAGAAATGAAAATACATATTTACATCATCCAATATTAAAAGCACCCTGTATATGTCCATTAATGTAAGTCTTCGGAGAACAAATGTCATTAAGAGTGGATATTGTTATTTCGTTTAGACGGAAGTTAAAGTATAGGATTAAATACCACATATGACGAAAAAGGTGCATCAATTATTTAGAATGGAGTTGAGGTGCCTCCAAGTATATCTATCACTACAGTTGCCTCGCGGAAATTTTCCTGGTCATTCTGTATTTCTCGGAAAAATTCTGTTTCCTGACAAAAGAAGGAAAAGACGAAGATTGCAAACGGAAAGATTTTGAATCTTAAAAATCAAAGAAATTGTGAAGCGGAGCGTATATATATTCCGGCGGCACCCTGCCTTCAACAAGCAATATCATATCCCATACACTTTTCAGATTTGTCCGCAATTTTGCACTATACCTCCATTGAAATATATTTCTTGTTCTTACAATAGAAGACAGATGTATCGCTATTTATGCTCAGATTCCTTAGACTGGCAAATAAAATGGACTTTTGAACGCATCCATATTCAACATTGCGAAAGCTCTACATAAAACTTTGCTTCTCTGCATATTTTACTTGAACAGATACGTTGTTTCTCATGAATACATATTTCTGTATAATGTCTGGAAAAGGAGTTTTATCTAACACTAATAACATTAATGTATAACAGCTATTGAACATTTTCAGCATTTATGAAACAAAAAGCTCATTTCATGTGGTTGTTCAATTGACTCCGTGCACCTGTAACTTCCGTCCAGATCAGGTAATCTGTTAATGACACACTTTAACACCTCTGCAAATATTTTCTTATTTGCTAACAATCAATTTGGAAACATCTTTCATTCAAATAATAACAGCCAATACAAAATGTAAACATTTACTCTGTTTATCAATAAATNTTTCTAATATTATTACTACTGTACCCTACTTTTATTTTAATTATATTATACGCCTCATCCGTTTTATCTACTTTAAACTTTTCTTCTACTTCTTTACATCCCATATCAATCCACTGTTCTTTAGCTGCCCTACACTTCCTAATTATTTCCTACTTTATAGACTTATACCTTTTTTGCTCTTCTTCGTCTGTCATGTTTTTGTATTTCCACCTTTCTTCAATTAATCCTACAATCTAGATTGGTATCCATCCAGGGTTTCCTACTTTTGTTTGGTTTAAGACGTAGTATATCTGCCGCTGCAAACTTTAGGCACGTTTTAATGTAGTTCCATTCTGTCTCTATGTCTCTGTCATTCATTTCTCCCGCCTCCTTTAGTATTTCTTCTGTCCTTGTACCTAGCCTGTTCCGCGTTTCGGTACATTTTAACTTTTCTAAGTCAAGACGTGCTCTAAACTTCCCTCTTTTTCAGAATTTTTAATTTAAGATTGGTCGGTTCATATATAATTTGTTATAATGGAAATTTATGCTAATTTAAGGTCATTTTACTGTAAAATATTTAACTAGCATCTATTTTTCGGCGACTAATTTCATGGATTCATCCCGATGTCCATACCTCAAACTCTAGAAAACAAAATTAATGCGTGATACTTTTTAGACGATTTATAAGCTTCCCACCCCAAAATAAGCTCTACTTTTTCTTCCAGGATAAGACTCAGGGTCGCCACATGATTATGCATATCAATCGATATATCTCTCACAAAAGCTCCATTTAGATCAACATTATAACCATTATATTTAAGCATTAAATAAAACAAACATAAAACTATGCTTACCCTAAAATAACCTTGAACTCTGTTTTGTTGACAGTTTTACCTTAAAATGTCCTTAAATTACCTTAAATTTCCACTGTAAATATTAAATTATATCTGAACGTAGAATTTGTGGTACTTTCTGAATTCGGAATAAAAAATAAGAGCTTCTATTAAAAAAACTGATTACTCTGAAATAGTCTTGATAGTAGACATTAAGATCAAATTCAAGGTCATCCGTCAAAGTCCTCTTAAAGTTATAAAACTTTTGCAGACATTTTTTTGATGTATGCCTTTCCCGTAGTTATTTAGGTGCGACTTTTTAAATATGTCAGCCCCATATATCGTTATGGAATGTTCTCAAGCTTTTCCACTAAAGCATCAAAGTACTTCTCAAGCTTTCTCGTAATTCTTTTGTTCTGGATTCTGCGTGGGTGTATACGTGGATGATTATGACCTCACCATGGGCCTTTAGCATGGCTCTTAACAATTTCATTAACGTGTATGTTTTCAGAAGCTCGTCCTCAACAGCAAACATTGGAGAATTCGCACAACAGCAACACCAATGCCGCCGCAGCGGAGGTTCCAGAAGAGAGAATAGCCCGCTGTGACAATCCTAATTGCCTTTGCAATGTGGATGTATTTACTGATGATACCGTTTACGATAGTACTAAACATTCGCACGATGTGCAGAACATCTCGTATATTAATTGACCCTCTAAACGACCACCGTCATCGGTTGGTTGTTTATACATATGTAAATTTTTGCCTGTGGAGCGTGCCCGTCTTGAGAGTCGTTTTATGTCAATGTTTTCTATTATTTACCGAATGGCTTTTACTCTTTTTACAAATTAAATTATATTAAAACATTGGCACTTTGTTTATTTTCGTCTAGGTACGTATGGATCTATGCATCATATGGGTCTATTGCAAGCAAGACTGACAATGAAACAGAAAGTACGTATTTGTTACGATATCATTTAAAACCGCTTTTATGTACGAGGTCTCTTTAAAAGTATCGCGAATTTTGTGTTTTTCAAAAATTATGTATTTATTTTGTTCCCTTCAAACTAATCCCCACCAGATATTATACACTTGTGCCAACGTTTTTTCCAATCCTCGAAGCACTTCAGAAAACCTTTTTTTATGATCTTGTTCAGCTCCTCCTTCGATGCCGTCTTTATCCCCTCAATCGTAGGGTAGCGTCGTCCTTTCGTGAGCCTCTTCAGTTTCGGGAATAAGAAAAAGTCGCAAAGGGGTGCAGATCTAGGAAATACGGTGGCTGCGGCATTATTAGTGTGTTGTTTTTGGATAAAAATTCGCGCACAAACAACGATGTGAGCAGGGGCGTTATCATGGTGCAAAAGCCAATTTTTGTTCTTTCACAAATCCGGGCGTTTTTGGTGAATTGCTTCGCTCAAATTACGCATTACTTGCAATTAATATTCCTTATTAACCGTTCTACCCTGTGACAAGAACTCATGATATACCATGGCCCTGAAATCGAAGAAAACTGTAAGCAAAACCTTCACATTCGATCTAACTTGACGCGCTTTTTTTGGTCTTGGCTCGCGCGGCAGCTTCCATTGGGATGATGGAGCTTTAATTTCCACGTCATAACGATAAACCCATGATTCGTCACCAGTTACGACCCTTTGGAGCAAATTTGAGTTGTTGCGGACAGAGTCCAACAGCTCATTCCAAATCATTGAGGAAAATTATTATCCTGCAATTTTTCAAAGGCAAATCAGTACTTATAGCAACTGATGTATTTGTCCCTTCGGTACTTATAGCAACTGATGTATTTATCCCTAAGTCTACAATTGCGGGTATCGTAAAATAATATGGCAGATCCGGTAATACTAATTAATGTCCGCGGTAATATTTCAGGTCGGCCAAAAGAGTCAAAGAGTTACTATAAATTTGCAAAACCGGTAGACGTAATACTTTAATTACCAGTCTATGAAATAAAGAGTGTGGGATGTAAGTTTCACGAAAATGTTTTCGTAAATATATTCTTAAAGTAGGGTTGTGATGAGAATGAAGTATTATCCTTTTAATTAGGCCAAAGAAGAACCGTTTCTAACTAAATAAAGGTGTAAAATATGTGTATTGAATTTTTAGATATTAAAAATTAAACACATTTCTTTTAGTTCTCGTAATAATTCTTTAAAATTTAGTGCATAATTGGTGACAGCACTTCTTAGTAATTCTTTCACATGCTGATTAGTTGATGCTGATCGATGTTTGGATTTCAGGAATTTTAAATTGGAATAAAATGATTCACATAAATACGTTGTTCCGAATATTGAAATAATTCGCCAAGCAGTATTTTTTAATTCTGGTACAAATTTCCAAAATTCAGTAATCGGCGTCGACTTATTTTTAATTGCAGAGCTTGATCTTCTTGCATCTCAATTAATTCTAATTCTCCAGATACTTTTTGGGTCATAATTATATTGGAAATGGAAAACTCACCTTGAAATTATGTTAATTTCAAATGGATTCAGAAAAAAATCAAGAGACGATTTAAAATGTTTCAAGTCGGAAATGAAATTTGTTACAACGTTGCACTTAGTCTTTCGTATTTGTTGTCAGTAATTTAAAACACATGCGGAATGATAATAATTTTTTAAAATATAATAACATAAAAATGAAACTACATTTATCGAGAGCCACAAATAATCTTTCAAAGAGCCGCAAGTTGCCCCCCCCCACCCCGCTTTACTAACGAAAACCGACATAATCAAACATTAATTCAATATAAAATTTTCTTAAAAAACACGATGAGTGTAAATAATTGATAACACCTGTTTACACTTGGCAGCCATCGGTTTTACACTTTTAACATCATTTTCCTTCAAATGACCTTTGAATTAAGTTTCATTAAAAAAACAGATATCTGCAAAAATCAGCAGTCGGATCTTATCAGAATAGTCAGAATATGCTGCCATAATTTCATTCAAATCGACCTATTAATTTCAGATGTGCGTTGATCATCAGTCAGTATCACTTTTTTAAACTTGATTTTACTTCGTCCTGAAAATGTACCGTTATACATAATAGTATATTGAAGCGAAATTCGCCTACTATTTACCACTAGTAGTAGTAGTACGTAATACATTTCAACGTAAAGTTATTTATACAATACGTACAATTCTTATCAAACTAAGCCTTCATTCATACACGACAATCACAATAAGAAAGTTAACTTACCTTAAATAATAAAAAAAAACTAATCGAATCTTACTTATCGAATAACGTATCACATACATACACATATTCATACACACATACATATATATGCCATTTATTCTACTAATATTAATTAATCTATTGCACTCCTCCGTTTCTTCAACTAAACTGAACCCTTTCTTTTTTAAGCAGGATCAGACCATCGCCACTCCCACTTAATATCTCCTTACATGCATCTAACTCTTTACTTTCCTCACATCCTCCCACCACATGCATCATTGTTTCATCTCCACTTTCATATATTCTACATATCATTTCTTCTTTCATCCAATATTTACATTTTCTACATTCATTTCCTACTCTAAACCTTGCAAATATTTCCACATCCTTCGTTCTATTCAGATAGTCTGGCAAAAGGTCTCCCTGCCAATGCTCCCATAGCAACACCTTTAGACATTCCACATATCTCGACTTATCAATACTTCTTAGGTCTTTTGCCCTTATTATCTCTTTACATCTTATTCTCACCATATCTTCAACACTTACCCCCATTTCGCTCCATTCATTCAGTTGCTCCTGACTCAAATTTAAATCGTCTAATGCACCATCCCTTTCTTTATCATACCTGGATTTTATCCCAATATTTAAAATCCTTTTTCTCCATAATTCTTTTCTTATATCCCCATCTATAAGCTTTTCAAGTTTTATTTCGTATTGTACCATCCTTTTTCTGGTTTCCTCTACCATTTTCCCCCATTTTAATTCCCTCCGTACAACATAATCTGGCGTATATCCATCCAAACGCAACAGCCACTTTATATATTTCTTGTAAATGTTTTACACCTGCTTCTGTTCCTTCCAAACCTATACTTCAACCCCATAAAGAGCTAACTACTACTGTACTTTTTCTTTTAATGCAATCGTTCCTGCATAATCATGCCCTATTCTCCATATATAGGGTTGTTCGGAAAGTCATTTCGTTTTTTCCAGACAGAGGATTTAATTGTATTCTTTTGCACCCAACTTCACATTTAAGCCGTATAATTTTTATATGCTTTGAGAGCTCATATAGCAAGGCTTGTGTGTGAAAAATTCCAATTAATTCTACGCAGTAGTTTTTGGTTGGTGCCC